GGCAGTGTTTAGCGGTTACGTTTGAGATTTCCGCTAGGTGTGCTTGGAACGTTCAGATCTGGGTTTGTTTCGATGAAGGAAGTTTGTGATTTGAGGATTCGAAATGGATTTTGACGGAAGGTTTTCGGAAGAAGTGGGTTTGAGGTTTGATAGTTTCTGGGTGATTTTGGTTTTCAGAGAAAGTTTGCGGTTTCTGGGTAACTTTGGGTAGGTTTTCTGGATTGAAACTTTGAAGGTCAAACTAGTTCATGTGATTGTTCAAGCCATTGATATTGTCTGTGATGAACATGAAAGAAGACTTTCTGATTTTTTTGTTTTGATGAAGAACAAGATGAAGGTTGAGGCTGGCTGATGGGATTAGGGTTTGTCCTCCTCAGATTAGGGTTCCTTGGAGGCTGAAGGGTTGTCTTCTGAGGTTTTTTGGGAGATGGTGAATAGTGGCATTAAACTTTTTAATAAAAATTGAAAAAAATATGGCATTAAACTTTTTAATAAAAATTGAAAAAAATAAAAATTGAAAAAAATAAAATAAAGAAACTTTTTCATAAAAATTGAAAAAAAGAAAATAAAGGCGCTGGGGGTAGGATTCGAACCCCCATCCTTCGAGGAAATGCAAGCAAGGTTATCCGCTGGAGCAAGTATGCGTTTGGAAATAAATCTGCATAAAAAAGTATATGTACACAAATAAAATAATAAAACGAAAAAACAAACAAAAGGCTGGGGCCAGGATTATAACCCCTCCGCTGGGGCGGAGATACGTCCGTTATTAAAAGGGCTCAAGTAAATATGAGGTGGGATTCGAACACCCAACCTTCAAGCCCACTCTCACAAATTCAACCACTGGAACACACATACATTCATTAATTCTCACGCACAAACAAATATATATTACGTAAACATTAAAAAAATCAAAATTAATTAATAAAAACTATTTTAAACTAATAAAATAATAATAAAATCTAATAAAATATTCTATACTAAAACTAATTTTAATATAATAAAATGAGAATAACTTTAAAAAGAAAATTCTAACAAAACTATTAAATAAAATTAATTACAAATAAATCCTAATATTAAAAAAAACATATTTAATATATAACTCTAAACAACTTATAAACAAAAATATTTAAAAACTATTAAAACAAAATAAAATAATTTCTATATGAAAATAAAAATCTATTCAAAATTATTTAATATTCTAAAAAATATTTAAATCCTAAAATATCTCTAACAATACTAATTTAATTCTAAAATCCTAAAATGTCTCTAAAATTAAATCAAATCTAATTAATTCTAAAACTAAAATGACTCTAAAAACAAATTAATTCTATGCTTATAAAAATAATCTATTTCTATCCTAAATAAGAAAAAAACTATTTCTAATGAAAATTCAAATAAATTAAACTTCTATATAAAAACTATAAAAATAAAATCTATTCTAAAGAAAGAAATAAATAACTATTCTAAATGATTAAATAAAGCAAAAAATAATAAATAAATGCAAAATGCCATGGGAAAACGGGCGAGCACCGAAATGTGTCGATATTATCAACATGGATTGAATTATCAAGAGGAGAGCGACTTTCGCTCGATTTTGACACTGAGCTTTTCGTTTGAATTAATTTGATTCGCCTGAAACACGAGCAAAGCGGCTAAAATCCTGACAAATTCAATCCGGCTGATAATACGGGCAAAATGCGAAAATGATATGCAGATGAAAAACGAAGCAAAAGCCAGTCAAAGTCGGAAAACCGGTGGGCAAATTTTGGGGTGCAACAAATTGCATCTTATGTTTTTAATCCAAAAAAATAAGCCACTTTTCACATAGATTTTATTTACCAACTGAGGTGAAATTGTTTACTTTTATATATATATATATATATATATATATATATATATATATATATATATATATATATATATATATATATATATATATATATATATATATATATATATATATATATATATATATATATATATATATATATATATATATATATATATATATATATATATATATATATATATATATATATATATATATATATATATATATATATATATATATATATATATATATATATATATATATATATATATATATATATATATATATATATATATATATATATATATATATATATATATATATATATATATATATATATATATATATATATATATATATATATATATATATATATATATATATATATATATATATATATATATATATATATATATATATATATATATATATATATATATATATATATATATATATATATATATATATATATATATGAGTGGGGATCAACTTACTCCAATTCATAGCCTTTAAATTGAATCTAATCTAGTGGTTAAATTTTATGTTTTCATTTTACAAAGCATCAAATTTTATGCTTTCAAAAATGAATTAGTAGACAAGAAAATGTTGAATGAAAAACTTGAAACATTGAAGATATTCTAACCATTGAAGAATGGGAGATGAATGATGAGTTATAGGATGCTCGAAAAAGATTAATTAGTATAAGTTGTTCTTCAAATATAATAGTTCATATAACTATTTTGTAAACCAATTTGAAAAATTATATGTTCAGTTAGGGCTAAATGATATAAGCAATTCACATTAGACATAATAAACTAAATCGTGTTTAGCCGTTGGTTAAATGACAAAACTGAGGGAAAAGATGTTTTCGGCATTTAAAAATTCTAAAAAGGTTTGGCAAGGGATTGAACCCATGACCCTTACACATTACCCATCGGTGGATGTCAACCCGAGGGGTAGCGTAACTCATATTTATGTCACCATTTGTTACCTCGCCTATAAAACCAAGGTAAACCCTCTTTTTTAAACGAGGTAAAAGAGTTTTTGTTGTTGTTTAAATGTTTGTATTTATATTAAATTCTTTATGTGCCAGCAAAACCACAAACCAAGTGATAGTATGGTGAGATGGTGGATAGAATCCTAATCGTGTTCCAAAAGTCATGTCGTAATGTTTTACTTGCTGACAATGAAGAGGAAATGGTACAAATGGAATATTAGGTTTTTTTGCTCCCCGCTACTGCCCTGCTACTGAGATCAGTTTCCCTTGGTGGAATGATACGTCTTGGGTATGGCATTTGTCTTCGGCAAGGCACAATAGATATAAAATGTTTATCTAGATGTTGGCGCATCCAATGAGTTAGAGTTTACCACTTTGTCACAAAAATGATCCAAGCACGTGCCAATGGAGGCAATCACTGATTTCACCGTTCCTCTCGTCGGTTTTGAGATAAAAGAGACCAAAATTACACCACCATTCCTAGACGAGACATTAGCTAGACTATTACTATCGCTTCTAGTACTGTAACTCTCAAACATCCCCCTATCTACTTTTTTCCTAGTCAACCTTCCCATTTGCCCATTTGGCATTATTAATACAACGAGCGCACAACTCAAACTCTCTTCGCATTTTGTAACTTCAACCATGTTCTCGTTTTTTCCACACTTCCTAAGCAACACCATGCTTGAATAATTGGAAAAGGCGGAGAGTAATACCCACAAAAGGGTGTCGTACCCGAATATTGAGCTTGTAATGATGTTCATGGAGAATTACATAAGTGCAGTGAGTATGCGTAGAAAATGAAGAAGAATTTGGTAGTTTGTCCTAAAATATATTATGAAAGACTCAAAACCAGTTGGGTTCTTGAGGCATTATTCATCATCACTTTGTTAAAATATCAATGAACGTGCTTCCAAGCATGCACCCGACCAAGGGGTCATATCAAGCGGTCCTTCCTAAGAATTATGAGTTAAACATGACTGCTTGATACTAGAAATCAAAAGTCCTTATATTGATACATTGAATGGGAAATTTGAATTGGGTTCAATCTTATAAGATTATTAATTCAACCTCATAATATGAAGGTCGCAACGATATTGAGTAACACCACACCCTTAATCACTCCGCTCTTCCAAGCTTTGTGGTTAGGGGTTATGGACCATCATGTTTCTCGTGGACCACATCGTCCTTACAGACTTCATACTTGGGGTTGTAGACCATCATGTTTTTTATAGTCCATTTTCATATAGTATTAATGATCTCGATCGACTCACTTACGACCACATAAAATGAGATGCACGAGAGACCTTAAATATTTTTCGGCGAGTTAGAATTTGTATTCGGCAGGTGGACATACTCACCACGTCTTGAGATTTCCTCGGAGGTGAATTACCCATCATGCTCTCAGATAGAGTGATGTCGTATTGGTCAAGACATAAGAAATAGTCTCAAAACTCTACATGATTCATTAGGTCATAAAAGACTTATATTTACGTATACCTCAAAGGTTAAGTTAAAAAATTAAATTCTTTACAAATCACTTACGTAAAACATCTTACTTCAGGTGAAGTCTGTACTATTATACTCAAATCAAATACTTGATATTGTTAATTTTAACCTATAGAATAAAATATATGTAAAGTTGTTAGTGAGTGTTTCTTAGAATTATTTTTAATCTTTTATTTAGAATAGAAATTTCTTCTTACACAAACAATTGGCCATAGAAAATATGCAAATAGAATATGGGGTTATTCTTTGTCAGAAAGAAAAAGGAAGGATATGGTGTTATTTCTTATTTGATCCAATCGAACCTCATTATGCCAAAATTCAACCACCAAAAGAAGCCAAAATCAATGTGAATTATTGTTATTGAGGTGTGAAGGAATGTGGAATTATGCGCATGGTGGACCCCACATTTCACACCATCCACATGCTAATGAAGTTCATATTTCAAAAAAGATAGCCCTCACCAATAAAGGACAATTAGAACAAGTGTACCTCACTCCAATTCTTCAAAACCATAGTTAACTATTCCTAAACCCAAAAGGCCCTTTTACCTATACATACTTTACATTTTCCATATGCACCTAACATCATAACAAACTCATCTAATCCTTAAAACTCTCATATCAAACCATAACCAAACATCATTATTCCCATCAAAAACCATACATGGATCCTCAAAGTAAACTACAACTAAGGATCCTCTATTGGATCTTATTACTTGTTTGTGTTACTAATACTCTTCCAATCAAAGCTTTGGAAGCAAGGAAGCTAGTTGAGAAGTGCACACCATGTGGTGACAATCCAATATCATCACCACCTCCAATAATATACAATTCACCACCACCAATTGTGTATTATCCATCACCACCACCACCATCTCCACCACCTCCAATAGTATACTACTCTCCACCACCACCTTCTCCGAAGAAATCACCCTCGTCGAATTGTCCTCCACCACCATCGGCGCCATACATATACATGACTGGACCACCAGGGAACTTGTATCCAGTTGATGTGAATTACAGTGGTTCAGGAGCAACTCCAGCCGGCCGTGGAAGCTTTGCCGGATTCTTGCCACTTTTGGTTTGCTTGTTGAGCTTTCTAGCCTTTTGGTGATTAGTTTGAGAATAAAATACTCAACAAATGAGTTGAAGATAATACATATATATATGTAAGGTAAGGGGAAAGAGAAATTATATTAGTGTTTAATATGCTCCCTATATGTGATCCCAATTTGTTGATCATATATATTTATTTCCATGTTTACTTTTTCTTGTGTAGTTTCGTTGATCCAATAAACTTTCTTCTGTACCATAGAGAAAGTAATAAATTTATGAAGTCTTTTCTTAAGCTTGAATGTAACTTTTAATTTAGATTATGCATCACAAATTTATTTCAATTCAATTTTAACAGTTGGATCGGTACAAAGAACACTTCATTAGAAGTTTTTGGTTCGAACATAATTTTCGACATATAATTCTCTTTTAATTCGAGAGATTAGTCTTTACAATATTGTGCATACGATATATATTATATGAAAAAACTATATAGTTGTTTATAAATTCTTAATTTGATATAGTTGAAAATTATTACTCAATTATAAAACTGTCTTGTGTGTGAATGAATCATCATGAATGCATGTGGATCACCCACTCCACCCAACTTAAGTCGGTGTGACTTTTTTTTTATGAGATCCACAGTATGCTCACAGATCACAATAGAGTTGTATATGGAATCTAGGTAGTAGTATTTTAGAGTTTTATATTTTTTTATTTTGATTAAGATAAATATAAGAGAATAATAGTGATTCACGCCTAATTGTGATTAAATGCATGACTTTTATAGTGAAAATTTTGTTTACAATTAGCTACGTATTTGAAAAATTGAACAGTATAATGATAGAGTGGTTTTCTCAAACCTTCAAAGAAGATGGAGAAAGTGTTGATTTGTGATGAAGAGGTGAATAACTGTTCTAATGAAATTAAATACTGTATAACTGTCCTAATGAAAATACATTTACAATACAATGAAAACATGATGATACAATACAATGTATAGAATTACAAGGAGAGACAATACACAATTACGATGAACATTTCATTTTCATTTTAATATTGTGTTTTTTACCCTGTATAACTGTTCTAAAACTCTCGTTTTCAAATCCATTCATCTTCTTACAATCTTATCACACTTTTCAACCAAGAGAAATACAAAGTGTACACGGCTCTTGGGTGTCTGAAAATCTCATAATCAGTATCACTTGAACTATTATAAGGGGTTATAGTAAATAATTTGAACAATTTTTGTGGAAATTAACTTGATGTATAGACACCAGAATGATACTACAATTGTTCATAGAGAATCACATAGAAAGTAGCCTAACAAGTTGTCCTCGCTATAGTAATTGAGGGTAAAACATATGAAAGGAGAGACACTATCAAAGCCTTATCTGACTAAGTGGAATCTTCTACATTGATCATCAACTTTAGTCATTCTATAACATGGATCAATTTTCGCGGTTCTACAACAATTACAGTGAAAACATGATGATACAGTATAATGTTTAGAAAGCATCATTAAGCTCAATGGAAGAAAAACAAGTGAAAAGGAGAGCAATAGGGTATGTTACAGACTCTGTAAAAGTTATTCATCTTCATCTGATGCATAGTAATTCCTCACGGCTCGACGAAAATCATTAGGATCATACCACCATGTTTGGGTACCCAAAATGGCCTTCTCCAAAAAATGCTCATCAGTCACTTTCTTTTGTTTTGTACCCCTGTACAATTTTCCCAATTTTATCATGATATCCTGGAATCGACCACTCTGACCTCTGCCAACCATATATTTCAGAAAATCTAGAAACAAAGCTCTAATCAACTCGCCCTTGATGAGATAGATATACTGGAAAAATAATGTAGAGTTTGAGCATTAAAAATATGAGGAATAGCATATGTTCTATCAACTCTTTTAATCATATCAAGGGTAATCCTACTCTATCACAAGTTTGCATATGAACAAATTCCATGATCAAAATCATCATGTACCTATGAACAAATAATGTAGAGCTTCAGCAGTTAGCTACTATCATCTGTGATTTACATTCTATTAATGCAGTTTAATTCGAAAGTTTCCTTGTGTAAATCCTTTTGAGCTTGGTTACTTCCACTTAAAACTTCTCCTTTCAGTTTTCAAAATTCAGATTTTTGTACACAAATAAAGAATGCTTGAGAGGCCTAAGTGGACATATAAAGAGAAAGAGAGTGTACCAGAGATAATAAGGCACCGGTTGCAAAAATTACTTGGCGTTTGTCATAGTCTTCATCTTCAGACCCACCCCTGCCATCAGGTCTGCCATCACCACCGCCACCGTCTCCTGCTCCTCCACCTCCTGGTGGCTTTAATCCACTTTCACCGTTGTCAAAAAGCTCGCCTTTTTGAATCTGCTTCCGTAATACTTCTTCTATTGATTGTCCCTTAAATTTGTCAATCGCATTTGAAAGAGATTTCCAAGGCGAATCCTGATTATTACATTTATAATGTTAGCAACATGTAGTAATATCCAAACCTAAAACAGAGTAGTTCTCCTTCACTTTGCTGAGATTCATATTAACAGATATCACAGACAATCTTTCATGTTGCATTGCATACCAATGTCTAACAAATTAAACTGAATCAGATGGTTGAAACGGTTGAACCTTCAACCAACCTTAACACTTATTCAGGTATTTAGCCCCTTCAACTGCAGTTTCATACCAGCTTGAGCAATTTAAAACAGTTGAACTTGAACCATAACCTAGAAGTCTCGCCAATTAGATTTCTTGTTCAATTATTAAAATATTGTTACATCACTTAGTTTCTTTTATTATTGTAATTTATCCCTTTTGAAAAAACAGCAAATTTTTCATTTACCAAACTCGTGATAAAAATCAAAAGCATCGACTAATATTTTCACAAGGTCCAAGACAAAAGATCCAGAGACAAAGCGAAGGAGGCGAATATGAGAAATAGGTGTTCCCCCACTCTTGCCTAAAGTAGACAACTCCGCCCTTTGAGGCATCAGTTCACATCAATCAGACGGTTGTCTGCACTGGACGTTGCATTCCTCGCAGACAGTTTTAACCGCTCTCAAGATAAAATACATCATTCTCAAGTATTAAAATTCATTTTCAAGTATTAAAATTCATTCTCACTCCGGCATTACTTCCCATTCTCTAACTGACTTGGACGTTGAACTACTCTCACTGACATGAGCATTGAAGTGCTAACTTTATAAGTCGGTCCCTTCTCCATCGAACAGAAGCAGAAATTCGCCACAGCAAAGCATTACCTCACCATTTCACATATCATTTCTAGTTCCGAACCAAACCTTTTCGGTCACAATAGCAATAACAAACAAAAACTTACCTGAAAAGAAGAAACAATACAATACCTCATCATTATTTCCCATCTTTCCTTTTCCACCGGCGCGAAGAGGTTTTAGGGATTTTAATCTAAAAGAAGGTTCATCTCTTATGCTAATATTCTGAATCCGAGGAAAAGTAGTGATAACACTCATTGGAATAACAAATGACTTAGAATTCTTCACAGAAATCGCAGGCTGGAACGCTATAACTTGAGCAGAATTCATTTTTGTGAACCTACAAAAATCATATAATTAGACTATGAAATCAATTGTGCCGCACAATAGCGGCCTTTTGCAGTGGCGGCTATGGTTGCCGCAAATTGCGCTGGAATCGTACCCTCGAGCGCGTTGCAGGATAGGGGGAAATATTGGAGTAGGAATGAAATTAAATACAGAAGATAAGAAAACCTGAAGGACTTTGTCGCTGTCTCTGGCTCCGGCGAAAAAATAACGCCGGCAGCGTTTTCCGGTAGATTGAGTTCAGTGCTACTCCGAGATGTTTCTGATGCTAACCGGCAGCAACGGCTGCATTTTGTTTTTTGTGATGGAGTTGCTGCGATTGATGAGATTGGGCCTCTTCAACGGGAAGTGGATTAGGCTAACAGTTACAATTTTCTAGTGTATTGTTTTTGTTTATTTATCATTCATATTTGATTTAATATTCTTTTTAGACAAATTTTTAGGTATTCATGATAACTTGTTTGATATCGGTTTTAGTGTAAATTAATTTAAAATATTAATTTATTTTTAAATAAAATAAATATTAAAAGTAACATGGCATTATATCTAAGTGTTTTATTATATGAGAGTTTCATATCCAATTAAATTTAAAGGTATTAATGTTCATTGTCTTTTTATCTAATCCGGTTAAAAATGAGTTAAGTCGAATTTAAATTATCTTAATTTTGTTTGATTTAATAATAATTAATTTAATTTAAAATTTAATTTAATTTATTTTAAATTTTAAATTTGACTTAGTCTAAGTTCACAAAGAGTCAATTTATTATCTTCATTTTATTAGATTCGACTCGTTTGTTTCATAAATTTAAAAAATTTATTAAATTTAACTTTTTAATTATATATTTAATATTTTAAATTATTTGTTTCTTTAAAAAAAATATTCAAATAAAATTAAAATTATAAGATTGAAATTTAATTTTTTTTCTCAAAAATCCATGATATTTTTATCAAATAAATGATATTTTTATTTGATAAGAGTTTTATTAAAAAGAAGCTTAATCTTTAATTACCGAATATAATTTTTTTATCTAGCGTTGATTTTAATGGTATAATTATTTTTTGAAATATTTTGTTCATTGAAAATATAAATGATCAATTTAAACGGTTAGATTAAAAGAAATAGAGACTAAAATATAGAGTAACTTTTTAAATTCACTTTTGAAGTCAATATAATTATTCTCATATATCATCGAATTGACTCATGAATATAACGAGTTGAACTATTCATAGTTCAAGTTTATCTCATTTAGCTAACAAACTTATTTTTTTTTTGCTCATATTCTACTCATTTGGTTCATGAATCTAGTTCAACGATTTAATTGTTGAATCGGATTTTGAACTATGTTCGAGTTAATTCGGTTCATTGTCAGTCCTAAGTCGGACTCATTTTGGTTTTTTTAGTTTAAAAAATATTCATTTTGATCCTTCAATTATTCAAACAGATTCATGTTTCTTGATGTTAAAGACATTAGTCAAAGTCAATTTAAAAGTTCAGTTATCACGTGGAATTAAATTTGTTGAGGCTTAAATTTTAAAAAATAGAAGTAGCATTTAGGTATTTGTTATTCTCATTTTTTTCATAACACCACATTGTTGAGGCCGAAGACGTGAAGAATGATTTTGCTAAGAACGAAGAAATGAAGAACAAACAACGAACAACGAAGTATGAAGACTGAAGTGAAACGAAACGAAACGAGGAAGACAAGTATTTACTAAAACGAAACAAGGAAGACACGTATTATGGTAAGTCTCGTTTTCCCCTTTCTAATTAGGATTTGTTGGGTTTTAAAGTTTTGTTAAATTAAGGGCTCCCCATATATTCTCTTTTAGGTTTTTAATCTTAATGTGGTGGGTTTATCATTTTCTCTTGGTTTTAGGGTTTTCTCTTGGTTTTAGAGTTTTCTATTTGTTATGATTCTTAATGTGTAATATGATTGTATGAATGTTTATTAAGTAGTATTATTCTCTTTTTCGGTGATAAAATGGATGGATTTAGTTCGTGTATTTATTCAATGTGGAGGTTCGTTTGTAGATGATGAGTTGTCTAGTTATGAAGGAATTATTTTAGAGCTAAGATCTGATCTAGATAAATTGAGCTATTTTGAGGTGATAGGGTACTTAAAGAATTGTGATATAAAGAAGTTGAAACTATATTATACAAGAATCTCACATTTGGTATGTTTACTTTGAGTGATGACAAAGGTGCCTAAGATATATGTGATTTAGGTAAGGTACATTTGAGTGTTCATATTTATGTACGACATCCATTGTCTCAACCTGAGTATTATGATGGTCTTGTAGAGGATGAAACTATAAACCCAGATGATTTAGTTATCCTTAATGGAGAATATGAGATTGGAAAACTGTATGAGGAAGTTATCAAAGGTATAACAGGTGATGTAACTGAGTTGAATGAAGTTGTAGCTAACGAGGTTGGGATGAATGAGGGCGTAGTTAAGATGAATTAAGTTGAAGACAATGAGGTTGGGATTAATGAGACTGATAAGAATGAGGGTGTAGTTGAGATGAATGAAGTTGGATTTAATGAGGTTGGGGTGAATGGAGTTGGAGTCAATAAGAATAGTTTGAGTGAGGGTGTGGTTGAGATGACTGGGGTTGGAGTTAATGAGATGAATGAGGTTGATTTGAATGAAGTCAATGTTGTTAAGGTGAATGAGGTTGAGTTGAATGAGGGTAATATGAAAGATGGTGAGGTGAATGATGTTGAGCAGAATAATGTTAAGGTGAATGATTGTAGAATTGTTGGTAGTGAAACAAATGATGATAATAATTGATGCAAGTTTTCATTATCACAGTGCCTTGGATGTTGCATTTGAAAACTCATATAAAGATAGTGATGATTTCATGAGAGATGGTATGGAAAATCTATTATGTTATGCTAATAATACATAGGGTACTAGCAAAAAAAACATAAATAAAATGGGGATTTTAATAAGAGTGAAAATGATAGTGAGGAATTGGAAAATGGGTGTGAAACGGATGGAGAAAATGGATCTAATAGAATGAATGTCCAGTTTTCAATTTTCCAAATAAATAATGGCAAATTATAAATGGGAATTAGGAACACTTTTTGCTACCAAGTATATTTTCAAGGAAGAAATCATTATATATGCAGTCCAGTTACTAAAACGACAAACAAAGGGTTATGGTTCCAACTTTCTTAACCTTAGTTAACTTAACCCTAGTCAACTCATACAACTCAACCTCAATAAGGTCAATCTCCAGAAACTCAAGCAAGTCAAACACAGTGAACTCAATCTATGACAAGTGGATTAAAACCTACTAAAAATTAACCCAATGATAACTCAAAAATGCGTTGTATATTTTGACTCGATTTGCTTGCATTTTGATGTCGATTTTATATATCTTTGTAGTATTATGTTGGTGGTATGTGCTCACTTTAGGAACTTAGTGGATGGAGGCTTGTGCGCAACAAAACAGTAAAAAAAACAGTGAAAACATGAAGAAAATGCAAGATTTTCGTTGTCATGACGGTCATCACACCTCCCCCCTCCCAAGGGAGGTTGATTCGATGTCGCGCGCGGATCAAAACCGAGTAATTTGAAAAAACATAGTAAAGCGACAATAACTCAGATGTCGATTCACAAGGATTCTTGTTGATGAAATAACCAATTGAAAACAATTGGGGGGTTCTTTTGATTTAGAATTCGATTAAGAAAATAAGCGGTAAAATAAGTGATTTTTAAAATAAGTGATTAAAACAGGTTAATCTACCGGTTCGACTCCCAACTTATCATCGATCATTACAATTACAATTCCCCAAGCGGTTCCAATCCCTATTTGATTGAAATATTGACGAACAAGCGTCGACAATACCACACGACTTATATTTCTAATTACCGAATTAAGCAAACGGTTAAAGATGGCGCAAATTAACAAAAATGCTAAGTTAATCCGCAATTCAGGTAAGGAACATCGATCAATCGAATTAAATCCAATTTATTTTATAAGAACGAATTAAGTAAACAAAAATTATAAAACAAATTGGAACGGAATTGAATTAAATCAGAATTATAATAAACCTCAAAGGGTTACGGAATTCGAAACCGACAGATTTTTCCTCGGGATTAGTTCGCCATGGAATACATGAAAGCAAAAGAAAAATTCTTGAAAAACTAGGGTTAAAACTACTGTAGCATGGCAGCAAACCTTATAAACAAAATAAGATTTGCATTACACACTCAACTGGGTCGGAGACATAAACCAGACCCAATAGGGATGACCTAAAACAACTAAGTTATTACAGTCAGAAACTTCAACGAATTATTTGAGACTCATGCAATCCGAATCAGATTCTTCATGAGACATGAAAGTTGTAGATCTTTTTCTTAGCTTTACAACAACTGGTAGAACTCCTTGATCTGATTCCTGTAGCTCCAGTTATGAATTTTTTATTTAAAGCTGCTAATGCTGAAAATAACAAACGAAAATCAAATAAGGCTGAAAATAAATTAAATTGTAAAAACATCATAAAATAGCAAAATAATCAAACTATAGAAATGCTTAAGTCTAAACATAGGGGAAGGTGCATCAAAATGCACTGATCAAATTCCCCCACACTTGAACCTTTGCACTCCGAGCAAAGTATTATCCAAACTCATGAAACACAAAAACATTTAGATACTCATTCTAGGTTGTAAACTCTTCTTCGGTCAAGATTGCATCGATAGGTACTAATTTTGCATACTAAGGATGTCGTAAGAACATAAATCCACAATTGTGCGATCATAAAGCTCCCTCCTATACAAATCAATCCAAATCATGTCATTATGCTTAAGTCTAACTTACTCATCCTCTTTTTTACTCCCTTTCATTCTAGTGCAATCACATTAAGCCCTTTATCTATTCACATACATGGTAAATAAGCTTGTTAGTGACTATGATCCATATATTTTCAACAATTCAAAATTAGACTCTTTTTCTCTTCTTTTTTTAAGGTTTCA